CCAATACACGCCTGCCAATACCGGGTAAATACGGTAGTTCTTCGTTCTCTAGCAGTACTGAGAGAGAATTTCTCTGAATATAAATCCGTCGAATGAATGACGGAAGTGCGCGTTGGATGAGGACCATTTGTGCAAACATCCTATCTGCCAGGTGGGGGAGGCACTCATCACTTGCTGCCGTTAATATCGCCTTGCTTCTCTTCCGAATCATGCAAACAAAAGCCAGAAAGCGCAAAGCAGAATTTTGGCCAAACAATGCTAGAACCGACATGCAGCATGCTAGAGTGACTTTGGGATGGGTGGGCAGTCCCCGATTGTCGCTGTGGGATGCGCACGCGTCGCCTTGCTCCAAGAGGTGTTGTGCACACATACAAGGTTGCCAGGACTTAATGAGGAAAATTTCAATGCCTCAGACTGTCTGTCCACTCTATGCAACAAACATTGGCGGACAGCGGGCGGAGAGTAAATCAAGTGTAGAACAGATAGTGAACAATTAATGATGGCCAATGAAAGATCAGCACACTGAATGGGCGCCGCACCTGTCCACCCGCACTCGCATTCACACTTCAGTCCCACACCTGCCTTCTTGGCACACTTGCCATGCAACCCGCAGGGCTCGGTGCATCCAACGACGCCCTAACGATTATGGAATTTGCAATGTCGTCAGTGGAGAGACAATGTCAGTTTTTACAAAAAAAAATGAACTAATGAACATAAAGCTTGATTTCATCCAATCGACAGTTCAATTCTCATTCAACAAAATTGGTGTACTTCTATGGCTTTCATGCCGTTCCTGGAGCGAAGTCCATCAATCGAGGCCCCACTGACTCGCAGCAGGCCGTTGCAGACATAAGTATGTTAAGAACAATGTTAATTTAATTACAAAGCAACAATTGGACTTACTGACATCCATATGTTGCGCACTACATTTTTTCTCAGTCAATGGTAAAAGCTTGGCGGCTTTTTTAGGAGCAATCGCCATTTGTTCTCTGCAATTGCTGGCCATAGACATCAAATGCCAACCACCGCCTTTAGTTCTGCAGCCTCCACTTGAATGCGCCTCACGTGGGCGTGGATGTCTCCCGTAAATTGGATTTCCAAATCTTGGGGGCTTCCGTCGCTGCCGTTTAACGACGCTTGACCAGACAACGTGACGTTCTCGAGCGTCAGTTGCAGAGACGATTCCATGGCAGTCTGGTTCGAGACCTGCAGTGGCACGCGGTGAAGAAACACAAAGAATCAAAAATTTGGGCAATGATCAAATATCGCAAGTACAAAATGGACCACAATACACGGTTTCTGACCATGTGAAATTCTTCAAAACCGTGCAACAACATGCAAAAATGATGTGCACTGACGCAATTGTTACCAAAATGGTTTACACAATAAGTCGCCATTGAACACGAGTTTTACACGATTTTCAATCAATTTACACGATCTGCACGGTACGCGATTTCTCCAATCTTGTATTTTGGGCTGTTTCTACTAGCATAAGTACACAATGCTTCCATTGCAAGAGTCGTGTCCACAATCTCCAATTTTTGCTATACCTAGCTAGATCAAATCAATGAGTCAAATCTTCATAGGATTCGGACCCCTTTGCTGATTCAATCGAATCCTTGCAGGATTTATGGGTGACTTGATTATGCTGATGGTCGCCATGAAACTCAGAAGTCACAACCTTGCCAAAAAAGGGCCCTTTCGAGTTCCATTTGTTGTGTTGGACCTATTTTGGTATGTCTCAACACAGGTACACAACATTCATGAAGTGCCATGTTGTAGACAACAAATGGGCACTGCTTTCCTTTCAAGTGTTTGATACCGTTACCATCACATTGTTTTTCGAATTGTCTCTTCCAATATGTTGAAGCATGTTTGCAGTATTCTGGTTTTCAACGATTGTTCCTGTTTGCCTGAATCTGAGCCCTTTTTTGGTTGGGGTCAGTTCGTGCGACCTTGGAAACTCTAGCACGTGTGCCCAATACTGCTGTACTGGTTCAGGTGCTTCTCGGCCTTTAGTCGCAATTTTCATGCGGTTTCTATTGGCGCCCTAAGCTTTGCACTGAATTCCGGTCATTTTCGCCACATATTGTGTTGAAATCTGGTGCAGACCAAACCACCAAAGCGTACATCTGTCCTCGCTGTTGTTCAGCTGGATTAATCTCCTCTGAAATGCAAGAGGACCACCGGATGCACAACACCAAGTCGCGGCAGAATGCAAAATCGCACTTTGGCTTCTCTTGATGCATCTCAAGAGTGGCGGCGTCCTCTGCCACGCTCGAGAGCTCGATGGATAGCTCTTGAAAGTGGCTCATCGAAGATGTTTCTACCAATATTTCTGACTCGGGGCTTTCACCTCCGCTTTTGCAAGTTTGAGGTCGGGCACTGCTTTTGGAACAGAGGTAGTAGATCCTCGAGACAAAAAATGGATTGAGCAATAAGCACCCATTTCGGGCATCGTAGTCCTTGCTATGGCGGCTTCAATTTGCTCGCATTCGTGCAGTGGCTGTAGTTCTTGTAGGCAATGGCGAGCGAGCAAAGCGAGCGGAGATTCATAGAGCAAAAACGCGCTTTTGGCCAACCGCCCACCGCGCGCACACCACCCGATCCCCCTTCACCGGCGTATGGCCCGGGGGCGGCACGCAGCGTGGGCGCCCGCCCGCCTTCCGTCGGCTTCCCCGGGGGTTTTCCTCCACAGGCGCGGGGCTTGCGCATGACTAATGCGAGGGGAGGGAGGAGGCGTGACACCTCTGGTGCCACGCGCCATGTGAGCCGTGGTCACTTTTTTTACATTGCGCACGTAGCCGTTACGCGTTACATGCGTACGCAGGAGCACAGCGACAGGTGCTTGCCTACCCATGACCACATACTGGCAAGGGGGCCCAGCGAGCAGCGCGAACTAAGCGGCACTTAAGTGAGCAGCCAGCGCCGGCGATCGATACCGCCGGCGGCCTCTGCTGCTAGCGATGCTAATCGTCTCCGCATTTGGTCGAGATCCGTCAACCCCATGGGCCCGTGCTTGGGACGCCGTGGTGCTGGGCGGGGACTTGGCGGGCCTGCAGAACGCCGCGCCCAGAACGGGGGAGGTTGGGGCTTGGGGGCACCAGCGATCATGTGGCCTGGGTCGCTGGTTGGGATGGGCGAGTTGGAGGGTAGAATTCGAAATTGTGTCTCCCACCGATCTTGGCTGTGGGCACCTAAGAATTTCTTGGGTGCCTACAGGGATGATCAGTGCGGTCTTCCTTGGGGCAGTAGTCTAGCAACCCAGTAGGTAGTTCTAAGCCCATTCACACGGCCTACCAGGGGCTGAACTGGTGAGGTGTGCGTGCTCGGGGGAATGACGTCAGCGATTTGAATATTAAAATTTGATGGCGTCCATCGACCGCACGGGCTGATCGACGCCATCTTACTGTGTAGGGCAAGGCGCCAACATCCTTGGGTTGCCCAAGTGGCCTTCGAGCGGCCCTTTGGGCGGGAGCGCCCTGGTGGCTTGGGGACCGAGGGGTAAGTAGTCGGGAGCCTGGCGTGTTGCCAGTACATTGAGCGATTCCGCTGGTTGGCAACCGCCGTAGCAAAAACAGCTCCCAATGTGGTCCACACACTGCAGATGAAATGTGTGCATGAGGGGGCATGCATGCCATGTGGCGGCGTTGTTTGCCACGTTCGAGAGCTCTATGAATAGCTCTTGAGAATGGCCTATAGAAGCCGTTTCTGTCAACATTCCTGACCCGCATGTTTTGGCCTCCGCTTGTGCAAATTAGAGCTCGGATAATGCTTTACAACAGAGGTAGCAGGTGTTCAAAACAAAAAACCGATTGCACAATAAAACACCCATTTCGGTCATCGCAGCCCTTGTCATGATGGCTTCAATTTGCACGCACTCATGCAGCGGGCCTAGCTCTCGTAGGTAATAAAGGTATGTTGGAATTTGCTTACGCAAATATATGAACTTGCATCAGTCTTGGGTACAATTCCTGTACTATAGTATAGTCAACCCTTCCGCATAGTAATGTAACACTTGGCCTTTTTTGCGGAGAAAACAGCAAAACAAATAGGGCTCTCCTAATAAATTTTAGTGGAGCAACATGAGAAAAATAAAAATAGCGCTCTGAAAAACAAATGCAGAGCAAAAAGCGTAACGGTAAAATTATTCGATGCGAAAGGGTTGAAAGTACAATGGATATCCTGGACCACACATGTCAGACTGGCGGAAGTGCAGCAGCTTGCAAATGGGATGGTGCAGTACTCTTGCACGGAATTCAGGGCTGCCACATTAAATTTGGACGAGGCTCTCTGTCACAAGTTCCCGAGCTTGTGTTTTCGGGGAAAGGCGTGACCGAGGCTTGCGAAACAATAAATTGAAATCAATACGTGCAACGATATGTGATACGCCCCACATAATGTAGAGGCAAGGCACCAAATTTTGTAAATAAAACCAGTGGAAAACAGCCTGTTTGCGATGCCAACTGCGGTGCCATTGACACAATTTGACGCCATCGCAATCACTGTGACGGCACCACTTTGTGTCAAAATGGCATCGCACCTGGCATTGCAAACATGACATTTTCTATGTAAACCGTACAACAAAACAGCGAACTGTTCAGGAGAAACTTCATCAAAAGTGACGCATAATCGCGGACTGCAATGACGTAATTGGAAGATGAAAAGCAGATAATTCAGATCGGCCCAGACGGACGCATGATTCGACGTGCGGTAGCGCCAACGACTACCTTTGCGATCATCTGCGATCGTTTGCGATCATTTAGATAGTTGCCATCACAGTTTGAAGCCGACAATTGATGTGTGGCAATGCGTCTCCTTGAGGCACACCATGATCCCCAAGCTGCCCGTGGCACCCCTGCGCCTTGCCGTGCCAAGCACCGTGTCTGGTGTCGACAAAACTTTCACAGTCCCACTTCACATGATGAGTCGTGCGTTGGGCGCCGCCGCCGACCGCTACCAAGCCCCTCAACCCAAGGTACCGGTACTACCGCAATGTACTACCAACTCTGCACATGACAATCGTGAGACACACACACCGAGGCAACGACGCAAAGTGCTGCTCAATGTGTGGACCACCAGCTTACAGCACTGGGGCACCACCACCACGCACCCCCATGACGGCGTAATGTTGTGCCCACCTGCAGCGTGATCCTCAGGTCCCCCTCTCCTCCCCCTCCCAGTCCCGCGCCCCCGCCCTCCGGCGGCTCGAGCCCCTCGCCCGCCCAAGCCGCGCCCCCCTCCGCCTCAGCCGCCAGCCTCCCCGCCAAAACCGCCACCGTGCTCAAATTCAAATTCGAATTCGATTCCGTCACCATGGCCCAGCCCGCCAACCCCCACCTGGCCCCGGCCAGCCTGACGGGCCCGGTGAACGGCAGCACGGCCGGATAGACCGCCACGTGGCGGGTGTGGGTCAGCGACACGTTGGCTGATCTGTTGACCACGTTGACCAGCCCGTTGACTGCGCTGACCACGGCCAGCCCGGTCGGGGGGCAGCCCGCGTCGCCGGGCGCCTCGAAGGCCAGCGACAGGCCCCCCGAGGCGCCAATTGTCAGGCGGCGCGGATCGGGGGCCAGGGCGATCGGATCGGAAATCGAATCGCCCGCATCCGATTCTCCGGCGCCCGAATCCGGCGCCATGGCACCAGCGGCGCTCAGCAGGGAGGCGTCCGCGTCGATCGCGAACTCGAGCGCGCATGGGCCGGCCGCGCATGGGATCGACATGAATCCGAGGTAGGCGAGGGCCGCGCCAATCCGGGGGAAGGGCGATCGGGCCCCCATGGCATGGGCTGGGAAGAGGGATGGGGGGACGAGGGGCCGGGGGCGCGTACTTCGCGGTGGGAAATTGGTTCAACACGGGGCTGCTCTGGACTCAAATCCGGAGCTCGGGGACCGGGGACTGACTCGCCCCCCGCTGGGGAACACGGGGCGGGCGGGGAGGAGAATTCGGAGCAGGTCCGAGGGTTGAGGGCGTCTGCGGGAGATACGGGTGGGGTGGGGGTAGTGTGGGGCAGGGTTGGTGCCAGCCAGGCGCTCGTCACACGTCTACGGCTTGGGGGAAGCGGGAGGCCGCTGTGGCACAGGTGGAGGGCAGGCGGGGAGCGCCCTCACGGGCGGTGCGTCGCCAGTCACTTGATTTTTTGCACGAATTTGAGTGATTTGGGGATTGCGCGCGTTACGTGGTTACGATTCGTGAAGCGCTTATTGAGAGCGACGTTGATCTGGTAGATTTGGGGTGGACAATACAGGAGGCAGGCATGGAGACACAGCTGTGGGAACGGAACGTTGCAGAGAGATCACCGACAAGCATGCCCCCTTTTACGCACACAACCATCCATCAATCGTGGACCAGTCACTGTCATATCAACGTGAAAATCACCAGTGCTTCCCGTGCTCATGGATCATCCGAGTGGATCTCTTGGATGGATTGATTGTTAGAACCCTCCAAAAAAATACTGTACAGTACAGTACAGTACAGTACTGTTGAGACTGTACAGTACAGTTGAGACATGTCTCACGTGCAACCCCAGCGAAAAGCAAACAAGCGAACAAAAAGCTGTACGTTGTGAGGATCGCCCCGACAACGGCGCCCCTCTCTTCACATTTCCAGTGCAATGCACAGCTCGGACCAGCTCGATTCTTCTTCATCCCTCAACCAAAGGACTGGAAAACACTGCCCACAAGGGCAAAAGTGCACTTGCGGGTATTCTTCCTGTCGCAACTTTGCAACGCCCAAGCGTCGGTCCGAGGAGACACTTCACACAGGGCGGCAGCATCGTGTCCACGATGGCTGTGCGATGCACTCCTTGGCAAGTCATTTAATCATGTTGTCGAGCATCTCGCGCTCGCGACTCTCCAAGTCTGGAGCGAATCGTGGTTTCGTTGAACTCACAACCCTGAAGACGGGCTAGGTCTGTTAAGGGTGCTGGCAGTTGTGTTTTCAAACCACAACTGCCAGCACCCTCTACAGACCCAAAGGCAAAACATTGTTTTGCCACGTTGCGAGAGGGTGACATCGCGTGGCAGTCACATCCGTGAGACTTGCAGGCTCGCCGACCATGGGATGCCTGCTCGAGAGCCCCAGTCTCGGGCGACGTCGCTGGATTTTCCCGGTGCCTGGGGGCCGCGACGTCGCCGCCCTGTTGGTCGTGGCGTCGGTGGGAGATCTCCCACTGATAAAAAAATCGGCCAAACTACACGGTTCTGAAAATCTTGTACGGTGTCATGAGTGTGAAAGTGGTGTAAAAATCGAGTAAACGTCGTGTACCAATCGTGCAATGAACACAAAATAGAGGCTGCCGCTGGTGCACGGCTGAAATCGTGCAAAACCATGTTGTTTATCGTGTGGTCCACGGTGGTGAGGTGGGCCACTTCCGTGTACTACACAGGGCTGAAAACTGCACGATTATAGCAATAGTGCAAAAATCGTGCTCCGAAGCACCCGATTTTTACACGATTTCAACACGATTTCACATGATTGTATACCGTGTAAAATGGTCAAATTTTTACCAGTGAGAACTGAGAGCCCTGCAAAGGCCGTCGACGGCCCCGGCGACTACCCCATCCCACCTTGCGGCAAATCCGCCAAAGCTGCTGACGCCCAGTCATCTTCCCAACCCGCTTCAGAGACGTCGCCGCCGGAGGTGGGGCCATTTTCTGGGCACGTGGGCTCTGATGAAAATGGCACGTCTGGTAAGGAGCGGGTGTGCTCGAGAACTTGGGCTACAACGCCTTGTGAACGAAGGGGAACTAGCGTTGAACTAGATGCCGCTGATGCAGGCAGCCAGGGCGCAATGGCTCGCTTGGGCACAGGATAATCAATCAATGAATGTGCGTGCAAGGATCATTCGCGGTGCGGCAAACGCATGATGCCCTCCTAATTCCACGTTTGATGCTTCAATACCTGCAGAACTGCATTCGCTCGCAGCAGGTATTACTTGTCACAACGACTTTACACCAACCCGGGTTTTCACAGCTTTGGCGCAAGAATGGCTGCAGCTCATCAATGATGCAAACTGCAGCAATGCAGCAGGAATGCCAACTCGGTATTGGTCAAGCAGGGCCGGCATCAGCACCGGCATTCCCTGGCACCTTCCAACGCCTGTCACTGGCAGAAAACAGGCTGTTTGCGATACCATCTGCGATGCCATTTTGACACAAAGTGATGCCGTCAGTGTGATTGCGACGGTATAAAAGCGGCTGTGATGGCATCAATTTGTGTCAAAATGGCGTCGCAGCTGGTATCCCAAACAGCCTATTTTCTACTGGTGTGTCTCCCAATATCTGCGAGCCGACATTTGGGAAAAGATCTCTGCCAAATCCCCATCTGGCCATCGATGACCTGTGGCAAAACAGGATGTCATTGTTGCTGTTTACTTTCATTAAATGAAAAAATAAAAAATGAAGATGAAATTGGCCTGAAAACCTTCCTCAAATATGCATTTGCTGTGACAGCTTGCAATCTCAGCAGGCCAACCCACAGACAATGCATTTTGCTCCGTTAAGCAGCACTAGCATGACACTCACAACTCAATTCAATGTTTCAAAAAAATCAACTGATAATTGCACTGCAGTGTATAGCATTATTGCATAACTACACATGGCTTTGCACCTGTATGCTATTACAGCTTTAAGCCTTGGCAACAAGGGATAGCGAATCCAGTGTTGAGATGGATTCGAAAACGAGCACTTCTTTCTGGAACACAGGAGTTCCAAGATTCGAGCGCAAGGCTTTCACTCACACCGTGCCACAAGCGCCGCCGTCGGACGGGAAGGGGCGTCGGGTGCCGCGCCAGCTTCTGCTGCCAGACGACAGCAACCCGCCTCACCACACACGCCGCTGACGCGCAGCGGCTGCACACATCCCCCAGTCATCCCCGCGCTGCCCCTGACGTCATTTCCCCTGCGTGGCGTCTTGCCCAGGAGGAGGTGCCAGGCGGTGTGCTGGCGCATTCCAACCTCGTCACCCAATATTCCCTCTTCCATTCCGATCCCAGCGGCGCTCCGAACCTTCACTGCCACGCCACCGCCACCAAGGCCGACCCCATAAAACGCCCTGCCGTGGCCCCCGCAGCACCAACCCACGCGCTGTCACCTTCCGGCTCCCAGATCACAGCGAAGACGTGCAGCCCGTCGACTTCAACAGTCCAGTGAATTGCAACGGCCGCTGGGCAGCAGGCTGCGCCAGGGAAGAGCGGCAAGCTGGGCGACCCTGAGAGGGTCGTGTGAAGAAGAAGCTGATCCTTGGCGCAGCTGGCTGGGCCCCCTTCGCGGGGTGCCAGGGCACCTTCGCTGCACCAGGGGTCTCTTCCGTACCTATTGGGGATCGGATCCCGGCGAAGTTGAGGATGAGGAGGATGGATTCAGCGTTCACGATCGCCGTTCTGTATGCGGTGGCCGCGTGCTGGACCTGCGCACCGGTAGCTGGGCTGCCCGTGGAGACGGAGGCGAGCGCGCTGCCCAGCACCTGCTACACGCTCAAAGGTGAGAACCCGACTGCCAGCAAAAGCCAGCGACGGGGAATGTGCGGGGGAGTTTTCGCAAGTTTTCGGCTCGGCAGCGCGGCGGGGCTGGGCGGGGTGGTGGCCTGGGTGGGCGGACGGCACGCCTGAGATGAGAACAGCGCCGTTGCGCGCATTTTCTGTTGTCTCCGTCCTTTTGGTGATGTACTGGTGCGGCGACGGGGCGCGTTTGTTCGGACATGCGCTTGGCAGAACGGCGAAACGACACAGGGAGCGGGCCTGGGGGACGCCGGCTGCGGCCTTTCGCGTTGGCAGCCCTTTGCATCTGGGAAAGGCGTTTCGGGAGATCTACGCGAATGCCGATTGCCGCGAACGAGCGGGGAAGTGCAGCGACCCGAGATTTGTATCCCTCCACCGCCGCCCAGCAACGCCGTGGCGGGTGGCGAGTTGGCGTGTGAGCGAAACGCGGGCTCCCTAACCATCGCCGGACTTTTCAAACGCCAGTTTTAGCAACTCGGGCGAAACGCATGGCGTCCTGCAGGCTAAGGTCGCCGTGCCGGACCTGCCGCCTTCCCTTGCTCGCGAAGCCACAGCGGTTGGACGCGCAGGCGCGCGAGCCAAAACCTTACTCCTTAACTGTCGCCCAGACTCTTCTAACGCCAGCTTGGGCGACCCTCGCGGAAGGCATGGCGTTTGTGCCGTTCCAAGATGCCGTCCTGCGCCCCACCGCCTTCTCTTGCTCGTGAAGCCGCAGCGGTGCGGCGCCAGCCGGCAGCTTCTGCTTCAGGCGCGACCCACCAGCTTCTGGGGCGGGACGCCGCTGCTGCGACGGCCGCCCACAACCGCGCTGGGGGCCTTGCCGGCGGTCGGCCCGGATCCACTGCTGGGCAGATTGTCACAGCGCATGGAAAGGTCACCACGCGTTCAGGCTTTGACCGCGTGCTTGTGGTCAACTATCACGGTAGGGAGAGCAGTCCGACGTGCGAGGACACGGGGGGAGGTTGGTTTGCGGAGAAGCGGCGCAAGCGGATGGCAATTTGGGGGTGTCAGCTTCCAGGCGGCTTCCAGGGCCACTGAGCGGCTTCGCGCCAGTCGCGGGGCAGCTCGGGGTGAAAGTCTGCCGAAGAAATCGTAAACCGAGCGCTGTGAAGGCTGTTTCAGTGGTTTGGTCCAGTGGCGTTGTCGGGCCGAGCTGCAACGGGTTTGCGAAGTGCTTTGTTTTCTGGTGATTCTGAGTCACCGTGTTTGTTTTGTGGTGGCTCAGATGCGGGCGGTCTCGTCGTCGCGGCCAGTGAGGTGAGGGAGGCGCCGTGCCGCACAGAACCGCGTTGCCTCGCACGCGAACAAATCGGGCCTGTTTCGGGCAAAACATGGCATCATGACCAGTACTTCACAGTACTGTGTTGCACCACTTGTTTCTGAAAGCGTAAACTTAAACTGAAGTTAATTCAAGTTAACGCAAATTAATTTAAGTGAACTTGAATTATTTGTTTGAAAGCAATTTTTTTGTTCTCACGCTACTGTGTGCAAACATGGCTTTCAGCTCTCCAGCACGACGCAGCATTGCGTGTTGCATCCAGCTTGCCCAAATGGAAACTTCCCTTTGGGACCATACGCCAGCGATTCCCATCAAGACGGCGGTCACCTATGAACACCACTGCTTTCGCTGCATTTTCTATTTGCAAACCATTTTAAGCAAGGGGCTAGAGACAGTGTTCACGCAGTTAAGCATGACTTGCATTTGTTTTTTTGCGACCAGGTCACCATACAGCGCTGCCAGGGCAAGTACCTGTACATTGCGAACGTTCTGGACCCCTACACTCACATACACCTCTGCACGGGGGTGCTGCTGGATAGCGACCAGGTAATTGCATTACGCAAGTTTAAGGGATTCTCATCCTTTAAATTGCCGTTCATAGGACACAGCGGGGCACTTGCACGTTGTAGGCGATGGCGGGCATATAGGCATCCAGGAACTCAGCTGTGTCCCATGATTGAAGTCCCGAACTTGGTAAATTGGTCGATCCAATATGCATTGGCCTGAACCTCCACGCAACATCCAAATATTGGTGCGATCAGGTAGCCATACCAGCGCAATGCGTCCTCAAGGAAGCCGCCAATGAGCCCGGCTCGCCAGTCTACTTTCCGATCGTGAGAATGGGGAGCAAGAACTTGAACAAGCATGAAGAAGCCGGGGAAGAGGAGGTGAGTTGGATTCCTCTCCAGCACTAGCTCACAAAAGGGACAAAACAATGGCTATAGGACAGGATAGGATAGGATGGAACAGAAATTTGTATACACTCCTGCACATGTACAGGAGTTTAGGATGGAAGGCGAATGTTCTGTCCTACTGCCCAGTATTTCTGTTCTTTTACTTACTGTAAAGTTTCACCTTTTCCTGTGCTCAGGATATCAGAGGAGCTTGGAGATACGTACCTCCAAGTATGGAATACTGTCGTACATGTCATACATCCTTACTGTAATAGTACATTATACTGTCATACTTTTCTTGGAGTTAATCGTATCCCGTGTCTTGGAAATCCCAAATTCTGGGCCATCTTCCATAGCTGGCCATCTCCAGCAGGAAGTCCGGCGGATATTTCTGTAGCATTGGCGGCACATGGTGGCGAAAATGGCGGACGCCGATGCGCGATTCTGAGCGACGGAACAGTGGCAACCATCGGACTCAAACTGCATGATTCGGGCATTTAATGACAGTGAAGGTGCAATGCTAGCGCCTGCTGAGATGCTGAATTCACAATAATCAAGCGCATTGCCCCTTCCTCATGCGCACGAAAATGGCGCAATGAACGCAGGGGCACACACGAGTCGGCTCACATTGCTGTGGCCGAAAATGCGCGAATCAAGAACGCACTTCAGCCTACAATTCCGTAGCTTCAACGCGGTTCAGAAGCTCAGCACATTGTGTCAGGAACAGCTACTTGTCCATTACTTCGTAATTCAGTAACTCGATACAATTTTGTGCCACAAAGCTAGACAGAAGCCCAAATCTTTTGCCCATGACAGGTGCTGGAGGTGAGCCAAATCGCCGTGCACTCAGGCTTCGACGGCGACGCGACCCACGGCTTCGACCTGGCTCTCCTCACCCTGAGTCGGCCCTCCGCAGTGCCACCCATGGAAAGCATCGTTCCGGCGGACGGCTGCAGGGACGGGCTGAGCCTCCTGGGCTGGCTGGCGCCCTCGGTCCAGGGGGCCCCGTCCGTCAACCTGACCGCGGTCCCGCGCATGGCGTACAAGAAGCCGGAGGAGTGCGACGCGGCGGCGGGCGGCATGCCGCCCAACGCAACCTGCGCGGCCTCACCCATCGCCCAGGCCCTCTCATGTAAGGCCCGTCTTCGGCGATGCCGCTGGGGGGCAATTCGCACTGCGAATAATCCGTAATTGTCGTCTAACATTGGGAGATGCATTGCGTTCCCGGCGCGGTTGTTGTGTTGGCCAGAATGCGCTTTTGGGGGGTGAGATTGCTTTGGCCACAGTGGTCAACGGGTGGACTGGACCAGTTCAACTGGTGCGACCCAACGGCTGTGTGCGGAACTGAAGCTCAAGGAAGGCCGAAATTTCGTTGTTCTGCAGAAGGGGGCAGCATCTTTGCTGAGTAATGGAAATAGAAATAGCTAGAACTCTGTAGTAATTGTTTGGCGTTTCTAACGCCAAATGGGTACATGCAGGCGTTCTGTTACGTATCAGATCCAAAGGTTTCAACTGGCAGCCTTCGGAAAGGCCTACAGCTACGCTACTCTCCGTGCTGCAATAGTGAATATTGGTATCAGGATAATATATTCCAACGTTCAAACTGGCCTCACTTTGCAAACATTTTCACCGAGAGGATGTCATGGAGAACGAGAACTAGTCAATGTGATGTCTCTGCCTTGAACTGAAGATCACCGGAACGTCCGAACCCTTGAAACCACTCTGCTCGCAGTGGCCAATGATATCCACCTGAGCACCTTTGGTTTGTGGGTGGCGTACAGGGGATCTGGGTGCGCCACTTCTGTGCGATGACAAGCATCTGGTCGGCCTGCTGAGCTACAAGCAGCATGCTCAAGGGCACCACCCGTATGTATTCACACACCTGGCAGAATATCGGTCCTGGCTGAAGGGGCGGGGAGCGACAGCTTCCAAAATCTTCAGGAATGTTCCACAAAATCTTCCACATGAGGAGCTTTAGGCGGGGACACCCTGGCGGCCACAATCTGCGATTATCTGGATGGCTCCAAGGTTTGCCTGCCAAAAGAGAATGGAAGATGTGATGATGTGAAAGCGAACACTTTTCCAGCAGGAGTGGTATTCAGCTCAAGTAATTGTACCGTAGCTGTACAGTAATAGTTGGTGCCACTGTTCCTGGAAAGCTGTTGTCGTTGACTGGATTGTGAAGATTGATCTGGGAAGCAGCCAAGTAGCGAAATGGGACCGCTTTTGGCGTGGAGAAATTAGAATATGATGCCTAACGATCAGATGATGGTGATAGGAGATAGCTATTGGATTCTGACAGAATCCCAACTCGCTCGTAGTGCAAAATTCTTGCAAGGGATGCTGCGCAAACGACATCTGGAAACCCGAATACAGAATTCGACGCATTGTTGTAAATTGAATAAGAGATGGGCAGCTTCACGTCTCTGGGCGAGTCATTACTCGTCAAAAGACATAATATTGCAAATACCAAATATTGGCTAAATACGTACGCTCAACAGCATTTTGACACGTTTGGAATAATGTCGCACTCCTATCCAAAGTGAGATGTACTTTCTGGTATTCTTCCTATACATTGACTGCCTAAACTACATTTGACTAACATTTTCATTCTGGCTATGAAAGTATAAAGAGGCTTCCCACCTTGAGACATCGCATGCATTTGAAGCCGCACCATTTGAATTACAGCAGCTCCAACTACAAAATTTCACTATTTCGACATTGTAGCAGCCACACCAAAGCTTATTATGCCATGTGGTCGTGCCCATCCAATCCACAATTGAATCGTTGTTTTAGATCCCAAAAACGATGCATTGTTTGGCGGCTATGGCGTCCATGGGACAGATGTGCTTCAAGAATGTGCATGCAAATTCGCAGGTGCGCGGCTATGCGAATGGACAGTCCTATGAGCAGATCCGGAAACCAGTAGCCGTTCCCTAACAGCCAACGACCTGGCGATTTTATGGCACCCCTTCAACTGTTGGGCTCAGCCTCAGTTGACAGGGTCCCAAACTTGTATCTCTGAGTCTGTGCCAAGAAGATCAAGCCATTGCCAACCACCAAAAAAAACAATAGGATAACGCTGGAACGGCTCTGCAGTGCTTTCTGACATTGGTCACTCCCAAGGCCCCAGGTGCGCACGGTCCTAGAGTTAGAGTCACAAGGCGTAAAGTTGCCATTCCAGGACAGGGACCGTTTGGGGGTCAAGTGGCTGTACAGAACGTATTGAGGCTCCCACATTCCAATCTTCACATGCAAATGCCGCTGTCCCGGAAAACAGAGAACAAGCAGCCACATGTGGTTACCAAGGAAGTCACCCATTGAATGTCCTATAGATCACGAAGATGCGCTCTCAACCCCCGACCGCCACACCCACACTGTGCCATTTGCTGAAGCAGAACACGGATGCGCTTCACATGCCACAATAGGCAGCAACTTGCTGCAGCACAACAGCTCCATTTCGCTTTCAACAGCTCCTTGGGTAAATCCCTAGAGGCCCAGTGTTTCCAAACGCGAATCAGCTGTGTTTGGCTTTGGATATCATCCAGTCCTTTGCGATGACGGTCATCGCGTATGCGACCCAAAAGTTGCAACCCATGAGGAGGAGCACCCCAAACGGCCACCTGACCAGGAGGGGTATCATGGCCTTCAGCCGTTTACCAATTGGGCAGAATCTTGGGATCCTGGGGAACGCCTTTCATGTGTATGTGCTTCAGACCTTCCAAAACCCAACTCCAGATGGGCAAAGAATATTAGCCAAAAACCCCAAAATGTAATATATTGTCCAACTGTGCAGTTCTGCCCTTCTACTTGCACAATTCTGCTGTGCCCCAGTGGCCAGTTCCACAGTAACCAACAATATCTTGATCTCCATACAACACACCACGTTCCATTCCAGGTTCCAACTATTCGCACTCAATGGGCCGGACCACCCCATAGAGACACGCGCCATTTTAAACAGTACATCAACTTCAAAATCAGCCTGCAATAATATGTATTCTATCTATGCAGAATGCTCCTTCGTGGCAATACTGCGCTTAACTATGCAAACAACATGCCACCCCACAGAGATATTCCCTTGCAGCATTGCAGTTTAATGTGTGAACAGCATGGTCTCCCACACCTAAAGTGTTTCGTGAAAGTTGCGGCTACAATTAATCATTCTATATCAAAGGACATGCTTCCAACCTTGCACAAATACAGACTAAGTACTTAGACGTTTTCTGTATTCATGTACCTTCATCTCTTCATCATTCCCTCCCGGCTACTCCAGCAGTTCTGCTATTCAGGCTTGGGCACTCTTGTCATTTCTAGCACCTGCCTTTCAGCCATAGTCATGCACATTGCAAAGATTTCCATGGCCCCGTACATGCTCCTCAATCCAAAGGTACGCTGCAACAACACCTCTCTTTTGTGAAGTACAGCAGCCAAGGTATGGATTTATGAGTAGCTCCTTTTTCATTCTGGTGCTGATGCTCATTCTGCATTGATATTCCCAATTTGTTGCCATTGTAAACATCCGATTGTGAAAGCAACAAGGCAGCCAGCAATTCCACACAATGGGGTTCAAAGCCAGATGTGGGACAACATACAACCACTTTACTTACACATACAACCACTTTAAACACAAAACAACCCTTTTCAAAAGTCTAATACACAATCAGCACTCCCTATTCAGAAACAATGAATGAGTTGTCGGCCCTTTTGTGGGACCATGCATAATCCGATGCACTTATCTTTTCAAACAGCCATCACCCTCTCACTTTTTTCTCTTTCCGCAAAGCCAACTATTTTTTTCTCTTTAATAGTTAAACAATTGACCCAACTCGGTGCTGCTTGCACAGCCAACCTTGGGGGAAGTTTAAAACAAACAGTCAGCAGATAGGGTGACGGGTGCCAAACTACTTCTGACTTTCACTCCCTTACCAGAGTGGTGTGCTGAACTTGTCATGGCCATCTTGACCTATGCATTTTAGTGTATGTGATATGCTATATGGGTATTAAAAACCCATTAAGGCATAATATAATATTGAGTTCTAGTTTATTAGGAATTCTAGTTTATCAGGAACCGTCCCTTGTCACTGGTCTAAGGTGATTGGTCTAAGGTGACAGAATTATCACCGAATCCAATCAGTCTGGGGCGCTCAATGGTGACATGAATATGATGAGAACATAGGGTTGCTTTTCAAAACCAGACCTTGTCTCCCTAACTTTACACCGCCCTCGTTCTCACTCATAAGATTTGTGGTTGTCTGCTCATAACCCATTTCCAGAGTGTTATCTATTTTTTTCCTTTTACATATCAGCAATGGTGGCATATTCAGGCAATCTTATGCATTGTTACATTGTACTATGTACAATACACAGCGCATGCAGCAGATACATACGCCAATTACCCAATGAAACGGTGGTGATTATGTGGCATCACGGACACTCCTTAAAAGCACTTTGAAATTGTCTAGCTCCGTTATGTAATATTGCTGAGTCATCCTAGCATCGACAAAAGGATTCGCGCTTAAGAGGGTGGGGTTGGCGTTGGGGTTCCGGGCTTGGCTTCAGATTGACGAAAACTTTGCCAAAATCGACAAAGCGTCTTATCCCAAAGTGTAAGAAGTTATGAGAAATTGTCAGAAATAGGCGAGCGCTGGCCGAGGTAGCTATGCGACGCCACTTGGGAAGCCCCAGGCACATGGGCAAGGTGGCAGGAGAGGCGGCATGTACATTGATATGAATCTTGCCGTCTCAAGGGCCCAAACAAGTGAGCATTGGGAAGTTCCGAATGATGGGGCTGCCAGAATGATTGGATTCGCGGTTCTCCACTGCAGATCACCGGCCGCCAAACTGGCGCCTTCCACACGAACTCAAGACCATCGACGTGTAAGGTTACAGAAAAGCCACATGGCGCAGGCCCACGCCCACAGGTGAATGGCCCATCGCGCACTCCAGCTTAATCGTACAGCAAAGTACACATACAGTCCCCAGCAGTGAATGGGGCACAGCGATCATGACGTCCCTCTTCTCAAGCTTACTGAGATGAACACCAATCCACGGACCAGTCGGCACCGTCCTTGACGGGCGCCGGCATCGATCGGCACCGATATTGGTCCGAGCCCGAAATGTTCCACTCGATGC